CGGGTTTGAAACCGGACCGTCCTTGTAAGGATGGGTCATTCCATTTGAAATCAACAAGGCCCTCAACTTCATTGTTATAGAATTCTTTGAAACTCTGGTTGATTATACTCTTTAACATCCTGAATTCAAATAAGTGTTAAAAAATTCTAACTCCTATAGTTTTTGAGTTATTAGATTTTTTAAAATCGTGAAATAGGCTTTTTTGGGCACACTCGACTACAAAAAAAAAAAAAAGATTATACTCCAGTTGTATGATCTTAGAGAGTTGTAAGATAGCTCATTTAAAAGAGAATGCCAAGGGCTTTAATTAGATACCAATATTGCCCACTTGGAGAAATTTTATTCTTTTTCGTACAAATATCGTATAAGTATGCTTTTAAAATTTTTAAGAGTTAGTGTTTTTTTAAGTTTTGAAATTAATATATATTTACTATAGATGAAAAGCGAGTGTATACTAAAAATTTCAAAGTGTGACCATTTTTCCAAAATTTCAGGGCATAACCATTTTACGGTTATTAAAACCTCCATCCTGATCGAATGAACTGAATTGTAACAACACTACTCCAAATATCGACTCTAGTCGAGTATGATTGATGATATATTCTGCCAGTTAATTAGGTACATCACGTGTTTTAAGTATGAAACGGCGTGCCTATGAACCAATCACACGAAAAAGTGATGTCACGGGTACAATGAAACTAATTTTTTTATAGAGTGTTATTAATATAAACTATCGAGCCAATTTTGTTAACCACTCTTCTTTGGTTTTATTTTAACGTAATAATAGGTGCGACTAATAAGTTCTATATAGTCATGAGTAGTTCGGTGGCGTAGGGGATAAGCGCCGCGGCATGCGATCGATGTTGTTAAGCAACGTTCACAAAAGTCAGTCTCGAGATGGGCGGCCAAAAAATTATTATCTTTTGTCGTCGTTTTACTATCGTTAATATCATTCAATCCGCATTGGGCCAGCTTGGAGGATATAGCCCATCCTATGTAATCCATAAGGAAGGTCTGAGCCCTTGTAAGTGGGGATATAAAAGGGGTGATGATGATGATAAAGTCATATGTAAACAAAGAAATATTTATACCCTTACATACTAAAATATGTATAATTAATTTTACTTCAATAATTTTAACAATTTTTCACGCTTTTTAACGCAGTTTGAAAGCAAGCCCAATATTAATCTTGTTTTTGCAATGAAATTGCTACCGATATCGTTTTATTAAAAGAAAATATGTAACCGAATACTACTCTGCTTTGATAATGATTCAAACGATAGTGAAGGTACAGACAGACGAACAAACATGAGCCGTAGTAGATTAATAGTGTTCCGTTGGTATATTATTTTATTTAAGTCATAAAAAAAGTTGTTTCTAATCTATTCAATTAATTATATTTCATTTTAGGTAATACAACCAGTTAATTAAATGAAACAAAAACCTACTGATACAAACTATAATTCCGGAATCATTATTATTTTTAATGTCAAAGGTCGAAGCAATGAGATAATTATGTTTAAAGTAAATAATATTTAACTAAAAAAAAACTTTCGTGTAAACAATATGTTAACTATAACAATGAGCTGATCGAAATATAAAGAGTTAAAACTCTGCTCATAAAGAGACGCAAGGGGAATATACTATAAAGCTCAGGCCACACTGCGATTAAACGCATCTTAAGAAACGTAAAATTATACACATATTTCTATACAAGCACACACCGATTAGAAGATTAGAAATGCAAATCGCAATATATTCGGTATTTCATTTTCAGCTTTATCTAATCGACGGCAAAGATTCTTTATCGTGTATAATAAAATACGTATGTATAAACTTAGTGCGATCTCAGCCTAACACCGATTGCTAGCTACAGATTCACGGATACACTAACAATTAGAGATGCAGTCAGAATCTTTCGTTTACTTTACTTTAGGATATAAGTTTTTGATCTCCCACCAGTTGACGGACCAGTAACATCGTCATCGGCACCGAGCTTTTCTAAATAAGAATTGATATCTGTGCCCACAAGACCTGATTCTAATAGTGTCCTGAGATGTTCTGGATTGTTTTGAAGCAACGTCCTCGGTTTTTAAGGCGCCCCGACAATGTTATGTATTTTAAAGTTCACGTGGTTATCATGTGGTAATATGTAGTATCACTGAGTCCCGCTGGTCCAACTGGATTGTACTAGATTTTTCAACTTTAACTCCTAGTTCAAAGAAGTTGAACTTAGTAACGCTATTTCACCATGACATTATTTGAAGTCAAGTAAAGTGGAGCATATTACCGATGCTTAAAAACATTAAAAATAATGAATAAAAATTATCACTTCTATCAAAGAGTTAAGTAGAGTTTTACATTTAACAGAAGGGTCTAAACTAAAACCACGGTTTAAAAGTTTTTGGGTAAAATTCATTGTTGAGTGTACAGCATGTCAGGTTATGCAAAACTGTAAAATTTCCCCAAATGATATTTAACGCGAATATTTATTTAACCTCAAATAGTGACAAGTTGTTAGTCATCTAAGTATTTATTGGTCAACTTCTATTTCTTGCTATTGTGCTGCTAACGATTATACACAATATAAAACGACAATAATTCTTTTATAAAAAAAACACAAACTTTACGAAGTAATTGAATCATTCGAAGTAAACAAAAAACAGTCTGCACTTAAAAACCGCTTATTCATAGTTTTTTTTCCGATAACTCGATTGTATCACATAGATAAGTTATTTTAAGTATTTCCTGTACACTTAAAACATGATTTTTTCGCGTTCGCAAACGACTATCGCTCACAGTGAGTGTCGCGGTCACACTGGCTCACTGTTATCAGTACAATCAGTACCGTGTTGTATTTAGACTATGTTTACTATTAAGGCACATACACACAGCAGTATATCGTATTAATGCATAAGTAAACGTTTCGAATCCTATTTTGAACTCAATTGTATGTAAAATAACATAATAATGTAAAAAACAATCAATTGAAAAAAAAAATCAGTTTTCTGTAAACTGATGAGATAAATTTTTCTTAATGAAAAATGCCTTAAAAATCCACTAGTTCCACCAGGTGTTCTGAGTATAAGGTCCTGGGTAGCTCAGTGGTTAGAGAAGTCGCCCGGATTACGAAAAGTCGTGGGACGAAAATTCCTATCATTATAATCTTCTCAATAATATTCACTGTCTTTATGAATGAAATACAGGAGGATTTTAAATTTGTAATGTTCGATAAAAAAAATTTTTATCCTTTCTAACAAAATTATCAATTGATTTATTACTGACATTTTATTCCTATCATACCATAAATCAAAGCAATGTGACATTTCTTAAATATGTTGTCACTATCGCCTCTAAAAGATTATTTATAATCGCGGTTATAGAATATTTATTTCTCGTAAGAATACACATATAAATTTACTTAGTGAGAAACTACTACATGATCAAAAAACTAAACTCGCATTAATTTTGAATAAATCACTCAAAATCAATTAGTATTTATTTAAGTCTTATATACAAAAAAAAAATTCTGATTCACTAATATCAATGAAGAAGTAGTTCATTGAGCTACCAGAGACTTAAGCTGCATTGTAGAATTTCTAAACCATTTATTATATTTCTTTAAGAAACACCATCTCAGGTAATCTGTATGAATGCAGGAAAATTGTATTTATTATTGTGATAATACATATAATAGAATAGAATAACTCTTTATTGTCAACACCACATATACAGAAATTTACATACGAATATTAATATTACAGTGTAACAATTGGCGGTCTTATCGCTTAGAGCGATTTCTACCAGACAACCTTTGGATGGAGAAAGCTAAATGACAATCAGGAAACGGGGGTGCAAACTAAAATAATTTAGTAGATATTAAATCATAAATATTTAATTACATTAAATAAAAAGCTATAAATACTACAAATACATAAATAATTTAATAACAATTGCATATATAACATAATATAACTGATAAAACTACATCTACATAAAAAGATAAAAATAATGATAATAAAATATATATTTATAATGTCTACTAGAGAAATTATGAAATTGTTGTGACAGCATAGTTATGTGGACAAATAGAGGTTTTTCACCAAATCTTTGAAGATATTTATCGATTGTGCACGTCTTAATGTAGTCGGGAGAGCATTATACATATTATTACATATTATATATATATGTTATTTCGGTAATGACATGATTTATGTAAATGTCATTACTTATGATAAAGAGCTAGTAAGTTTCTTTCGTTTGTTCTTCTCGTCAGCTAAAAGACGTCCTGAACAAGTGGTTGGGCAAACAATTTTTTTTGACGATTCAAAAGTGCTTGTAAATAGACATTGAAATTTACATTGAAATTTTCAGGCAATCTTAAAAAATATTTCACGGTATCTTTTGTTTTCCGACTGGTGTAGGAAGCCTGGTAGAAATTGGTACATTAACAATAAGGCCGCATTTTGCATCTATGTTCCTTATTATATGTGTTTTATATACATATGTATGTATGCAAATGTTTTACTGCGTGCGTGTAATAAAGTTATGTTTTTTCATTGACATTTGAAGAAAAAAGTATAAAAGTAAATTCAACAAAACCTAGATTTTACTCGTACACAAATGTATCGTCAGAAGAATTTCGAAACATTCGTAAGTTAATAACAGCATTATGTTCCAGATTGCTCAGTTATTACTATTTTTGTTACTCTACTGCATAATTTTAATGTAGTAGTAATTAAAGTTGATAATTATGTTGAATAAAAAAATTTTTCTTCATAAATGTCAATAGAGGGCGCTGTTATTCTAATTCAACAATATTTTTTTATCGATGAAAGAAACACAAAAATTAAGCTTATTTGATAATTTATAAAGTATTAATTTTGCAATATTATGTAATTGGCATCCTTATCCGTCTAATTATCAACAACTCAGTTTTAAAAATTAATAGGCTGACTCTGAAGTTTCCCTGAAAAGTGGGTATTATAATAAAAACTGACCTGTCTTCAAACATGCTGGAGCTCATGTAACTGTCGTCAATCAAGCTGGTGTCTTCGGTTCTGTCAAATGATCTGTCATGCCTATCACTGTCACTCTTCACGTCGAAGCTGTTCAAACTCGAGTAGTTCTCGTCGAAGGATCTCGACTGTTCCGAACGGTACTTCTGGTCCCAGAGTTTCTTAGTCTCGTCTTGTACACGCCGCTTTAGTTCTGATATCTTTTCTCTTTCATTCTCTATTACTTGGCATCCTGTTGAAAAATGGTAAGTATTAATAACGTTAGACTAAATAATACTCCTATAACGATCCTACAAGGTCCTTATTATCTTCAGGATCGACCTTCATGCTACAACTATTCGACATGTGATAGCGATTGCAATCGTGACTTTTTTTTAAAGATATTACAAAAACAATATCTTTTATATTACGAGTACCTTAAGTTACTAAGTTTTAGTTATGTTTCTTGATCATTCAAATCAACATTCGATCTTCAGGCGATTTCTACTTTCAACGTATACGTATAAATCAATAACTCAGTGTTACAATCCCTGTATCGTTAAAAGGAATGGCGAAAGATTTTGAAAATAGACAAATAGGCCACAGGTCTTAGATCACAAAACTGTTAGAAATATTTATTTTGCAAGTGTTTATTTCATTAACACGAGATTTGATTAATCAGACATTCACATATTAGTGATGCCAAGCTAAGTTGTTAGCATATGAAATATTAAAATCAGCCATAAAAAAGTACCCTAACAATACCCAACAAGGAAATAGCGTAGAACGCTCGTTTTTTCTTAGAAAGTAGCCAAAAAGACATACAGATGCTATATGCTATAAATTAAATGACTCGTATATAGATCAGCTTTTATAAGCAGTTCATAAATGATATATTTTTCTCTAACATTTACATAAATTAACTACACATACCTTGTTCTTCCAACATTTCCATCCGCTTTCTTTCTATTTCCATCAGACTATCCAAAGTTCTTTTCCCTAAAGAATTCATGTCGGTATCACTGGATAATATCGGCGCATCCATAGTCACTTTAGATATCCTATCGATATCGTCTTGCGAAGGTATTTTACCAGAATCTGATATCTTTTTCTGCAATTCTCTAACATTAGGCTCATCGCCACAACTCTTTCTGTGATAAACTTTCGCGGAATTAACACTGTTGTCTATGTACGTCTGCCGAATGAGATTCTCGAATGTAACATTGTGACCTTTTTGATTCGCGGCTTCTTTAATCTCCTCCAGAGTTTCCTCTTTCAATAGGTCCTCCTGTTTCGTTTTATCCGGAGACAAAGATTTGGCTTTCACATATTTGTTATCTGTAACTATTGGTTTAGAATTCTTGATGTAACGGTTTTTGATATTGTTCTCCGTGACGTCGTCATTTTTAGCATAATTGTCTTTAGATTTTTTTCCGAAGGAGTCCTTTTTTATTATTTTACCTAACGCCGCAAAAGTCGGTATCTTAGATGACGAATTACTCTTTACGGGGCCGTTCTCCTTCTTCTTGGAATGTCTCAAACTGTTGAATTTATCGAATTCGTTTTCAATATTTTCATTGTACAAAATATTCTCATTCAAACTCTGCGACATAATGTCAACTTTTTCGGGAGATTTTAATTTCTTGTTCTTTCGTTTGAGCGAATCGAAGTTCCTTTCCCAAAATCCTTTCTTCTCTTTAGAAGAAGTAGAGGTCTTAGACGGACTCTCGCTGTATCGATTCTCGTTATCGATCGGTTCGACGACGTCACCAATAACTCGTCTCTCTATTTCGACGAACATCGATTGGGACATCTGATCGATCGAATTGAATTTGTCCTTCAACTGTTTGGTGTGCTCCTCAGATATTTTTGTCAGATCAACATCGTCGCTATCGGAGCTCTGTGGTGAATATCCGAATTCGCCTGATTTTGTTCTAGTCTGATCTGTGTAGAATGCACTATCAGGGGATTGTGTTCTGTCAACATCGTTTAGTTTGGCCACGATAGGTTTGAGTTCTTTCTCTATGCCCTGGACTTGGCCCGTCAACGCCTCTACTTGGTTTAGTAGCTTTAAGTACTCTGCTCTTAGCACTTTGGTTTCGTCCAGCGCCGACGTGAGGTTGTTATTTGCCTCCGACTTGAGATTGAGTATTCGAGATTTCTGCGCCTCAATTTTTTTGGTTAGTAAAACTATCTCGTTCTGTAAATCCTCCCTGTTTGCCAATCTGTGTGTTAAAGGAGTTTCATTATGCAATAAATGTCAATAGAAAATTGATATAAAACATAATAGATACTATATAGTGATATAATACAATATAAATAAATGTATTATAGTAGCTTCTACATTTACAAATAACAACACGTTAAGTGATTTTCTTCCTTAATGTGTTGAATGTTCTATTAAAAATCGACTATGGAGATTTGACTTGAAACGCTGTTTTGTGTAAAGGCAGTAAATATGATTACTAGGCTATTATAGAAAATTAAGGGTTTTAGCGGTTGGATAATGTAATACCAGTGAATGTCAAAGAATTAAAAATTCTATAATTGTAGGTATGTTCTCGGTAAAAAAAATCAATAAGCAACTCACAATTCAGATTCCTCTTCTAGATGTTGAAACTCCAAATCCTCGAATATCTTAGTCTCGTTGTCCAAAATGTCTTGAGCATTTTGAAGTTCTTCAAGCGTGGTCGCGTTGTCTTTGAAATCTTTTTCCAATCTAAATTAATTTAATAGACACATGTATTTTAAAGGCATCATTCCAACTCTATCGAAACGATATATGTTTCACATTGAGAAATATAATTTTAAATATTTTAGATTTGAATTGTTGAGACGACTTATTAAAAAAAATACCCAAACTACATATTTTGTCTGTCTGTCTGAATGTAAAACTACCAAACAAATCATCATGTATTTCACATAGTAGGTTAAATATTTTTTACAATTAATGCCTGAGGAATGGTATCGTTGTTGTAGAAGATGATGGAAAACTAATGTCGTCAATTAACTCCAACGTGTATATTGTATTTCGCAAAATTATATTCGGGTGAAGGTAATAGCAATAAAGTTAAATTACCTCACGATCCTTCATAGCGAGCCGGAATAAGTTAAACAATATTAATTATTATGTAAAGCCAACATCTCGTTAGCATTAATATTGAGGTAATTAAAGTTTAAAATAGATTGATACAAATTCATTATCACAATGTGATAAATATATATCTTACCTTTCAACCTTCATGGTGGCGACATCAACCCTATCTTGCATTTCGTTCTGACGAGCTTCTTGTTTTTGTTTCAATTGCTTTATTTCTTCTTCAATCTTCTTCGCTTTGTCTGCTAACTCAAACTTTTTCTTCTGTTCTATATTTAATATGGCTATTTCGGAGTCGTATTCACCTTTAATAAGGGCTTTCTCCATTTCAAGCTAAAATTATAATTTACATATAAAAACAAATAAATCGAGCAGGTTTTCTATGCGTTAATCAAGCATTCGATAAGGTCGGGCACGATTGATCGATCTATAAGATCAAAACATCCTTTCGTTACGCTTTATTTATAGTACTGAAATCATATCTCAGAAACAATATTTTAAGTTAAGGAAAAATATTGTATCAACTTTTCACAAAATTCAGTTAGTACCACAAGGTTCGGTCCTTGGCCCGATTCTATATATCATCGCCACATTTAAATTATCCGAGATTCGTAACAACAGTAGTTTTTTTAGTAGATGACACATTTTGACATATAGTCCTAATCGTATGCTATCTTCGGTACTTTTTAGTTAAAAATGGAAGATAAGAGCAAGCCAATCACAATCCATCTAAACATTCATACTTAGAAAGAACGATTGCCACACGTAAGGCTGAGATCCAGCACCCTGACCTCTAACAACACGATCTTAGTCTCATATTATCCAAGCATATTTATGAAGTCTTCTAAATTTCATTACTTTTTACTAAATTGAAATGTGTTAAAAAGCTCGAATTTAGATAAACAAAAAACTGAAATAACATATAAATAAAGACTGAGTTGGGTGGTTTTGGATAAGTGTATATGACACCGGAAAATAACAAGAATCACGAATTAATTAATTTCCTCAGAAATTTTTAAACTTACGTACAATTCTAAACCTAATTGTATTATTTTACGTCCACATTTTCGTAAATTGATAAATTTACCGAACTCAGGCGTAAAATAATAAGTAAGCAATAACCAAATACCATGTGCGCCCTGATTGATTGAATAAGTCACGTGTTAGGTACTTCTCCTTCCTTTCCACCGCCATTGTTCGCTTTCGTAAAAAAGTAACCCTGTATTATGGGTACCTACCTAGTTTTAAAGTAAAAATACTATTAGGTAGGTAATCAAAACTGTTAATTGCTAGTCCTAGTCAATACACCCGTGTCAAAGAAGGACCAGGTATCATAACTACAAATTACAGTTTAGAAAGTCTGCTGATTGTACAAAGTCAATGGACACAAGTATTGCCATTGTTAACATCGACTAATCAAAGAGCAGTGTATTTGCCATTTTCAAAGAGGCGTAAAATTAAAAGTTCTTATGTGATTGGTTGAACTGTTCAGTCCTACGAGAAGATATCCGTTAGTTTATTAATTTACCAGTTCAATAAATTTGCGGAAATGTGGGCGTCAAATAGTACAATTTATCTCACATTTAGAATCCTACGAAATTTGCGTATCTTGTTATTTTCTGATGACATATAAGTTATAATTAATTAACCTCTCTTAGTATGTCATCCTCTTGGGATCGGATCTCTGTCATCTTACACTTGATTTCATGTATTTGTGCCACTAATTTCTTGCGTTCATCCTTCAAAGTATCATATTTGCCTTTTAGTTCGTCAACATTATCGTCTATGACTGCACTGTCTATGGAGTCAGCTTCTATGTCCACCTAAGGATGATAACAATAATGTATTACCAAATAAAAATTCTCTACATTCTACATACTTGCAAATATAATTATTTTAATATTAATAATATTATATAACCGATACCGTAATTTGCGAGGAGAAAAATTATTCTAAATTTTTCATATTTATCCTATATACATTGAAAGCAAGTAAATAAAGTAGCCTTTGAAAGGCCGCGAAGAAGAAAGGTAAATTTATGTGTCTGGACTAATATATGTTTCAAATAATTAGAGATTTATCAAAATTCCTTCTGTACAAAATCATTAAATTTACACTCTCTTTATAAAATGAAGTTTTGAATTACCTTTTTTACAGTTTCCGTGATATGTTTTATTAGTTTATCTTGCTTGTTTTGCTTAAGATCTTTTTCGAATTCTTCTAACTCTGGTATGTCCGCCATCAACTCTTTCTTTACGTCGTCGAAACTCAAATTCTTCGTTAAAATAACTTCTGTAATTTCCGGTTCCTTAGTATCGTTTTTTTGTTCCTCATTCTTTTCTGTGATGATTTTGGAATATCGAAATTCAATATCGTTAGTAATATCAGCATCGTCAATCATGGGAATTTCTTCTTCTAGACTTAATTGTTTTTCTATACCTTCTTTCTTTAGACTATTCGTTTTCTTATCTTTAGGACTATCTAATTTGACATCTAACGGACTATTTTCTACAGTTACAGGTGATCTATTTTGAGTAAAATCAGGAGTTTTACTATTATCTGTAGGCGGTGGTGTGGGGAATATGAAATACTGGGGTGATGGCAAGTTTTTGTGAGCAAAACTGGTTTTTATTCTTGTCCTAGGGCTTTGAGTGTTAGGCGATTTCGGTTTAAAGTTTCCGTAGTTGTTTCTGTAATAGACGTTTTCGTACGGACTGCCTATTGGTGATGTAAGGCTGGGTTTGTTATCGCTTTGATTGAATTTCCTAATGAGGATCGGACTAGATAGTTCATCGTCAAATACAGGTATGCCAATTTCGTCCATTCTACCTATGTTTTGGCATGTTTGGTTCGGTATTGTCACCTCGGGCGTGGACGTTTCGGAGTGTGTGACGTCAAAGTTTTCATAGCTAGACAGATTTCTTTGTATAGGCAGAGATTTGCTAAGGGAATTACTACGGTTGTGACTAGTATCAAATCTGTAAAAGATAAATATGTATATAAATAAAAAAAAAATATTGCTGAATAAAGAAGGTAAGTATAATATACAACAATACAATGAAGATTTTACGTAATTCTACAATTCACTATACACTGGGTATAGATCTAGATTAATAAAATTCACTACAGACAGGAATACCACCCGCGTTTTTTGGCAAGTCAGGACAAATGCTTATATCGCTAAGCCATCGAGGCTTTCAGAGGCCTATGCGAAATTTATCAAAATAATAAATAGTTGCTTTTACAACCAGTATATATTACATCGCAAACAAACAATTTAAAGCTATTTTATCTTCTTAGATTAGAAATACCTACAGGCACCTGACCGTAAGCCTTAATATGTTCATAGTAGGGTTCAAAGTGCTGCTGTATTTGTTGATATAATTCATCACTTCAGCCGAGAGACGCCCACTGCTGGACATAGGCCTCCCCCAAAGATTTCCAAAGCGATCGGTCCTGCGCCTCCCACATCCAGCGGCGCAGTGTTGGTAGGCCCCCCACAAGGTGGACCGACGATCTGGTAAAGGTCGCGGGAAGCCGCTGGAAGCCGCTGGATGATATAATTATTGAATACCAATAGATTTATTTTGCATTTACTTACTTGTAATAACCATCGCTGGTCTGTACAAAGTTAGGGTTGTTCATAGCAACGCTACGAGGCAACGAGCCGTTCGTAATGATCTTATTATGAGATCGCTTCTCCGTTGGGGTGATCGGGATACCTGAAAGATTATATCATTATTATTAACTAACAATACTCTGCTACACTCCGTTATTATGATTATCATGGGAATTGAGATAAAAATAATATGACGATAAATCAATCGATTTATTTACTTGTCCTTCTTTCATGACAAATTACTTATTTTAGTGCAGGCGTCCACTTCTAATTGATAGTTGTAATAATAATATAATGTATTTAATTACCCGATGTGATTTGTCTTTCGTACTCGGCACACATATTAAGGATTTCCTCAAGACGTGCAGTCTCCGCCTCTTTCTGTTCTTCTTCTTTTATTCTATCCTGGTAAGCCTGAAAGAAATATTGTAAAAAGTCGTCACCAATAATATCGTCAATGTTTATTTATATTTCTGCTCTCTATAATAGTTGTTGTGTTAACAGAAAATAGTATGTGTTTCTAGGTCAGTTTATGATGTTGGCATGTCATTAATATGTAGCGTGAAAAACAATGGACCCAATACACTGCCCTGTGGTACTCCACGATATTTTACAGACTTTTTATTAATTATCCTGATACTGACTGTTATGTTACTACAGCATTTTTCAATGCTAAAAATTATATTGAAATAGGTAAAGCTAATAACTGCGAGGTCAAATTGTAATTATATTTCGCTTCGAGAAAAAAATAACCAAAGAATAACAATATACCCACATTTTTAAAATTCACTACACAGATATAGTTACAACACTATTGAATGAAATTTGCGTGTCGACACTTTTAAAACCTGGATTACTGTGTTCAACTATTTTATTGATTCGATTCTTATCATATCTTAATTTATCAAGCTATGCAATACGAATTAACACACTTATATCATTATCGTAAGGTATATTTAAATAGGCAAACAGTTTTCATCGCTTTTGCTTATTTGAAAAGAAATAAAATGATATTACAATAAACAAGTTAATTAATTTAGTCGCAGAAATAAAAATAATAATATTTCTGTACTGGTTTTCATATTAAGGAAGGGCATGAAGGTAGATATGAATAAAATAATAATGTAGGCGGTCTATGAAGAAAAATATTTAGACATTGTCGGTGTGATACAATTTCAGCCTAATATACTAAACTTGAAACAAAGATCACAGTTCGGAGATCATTTCAAACAGATCAGCCTAGTTTTTTAAGGAATCAAATCATTCCTTAAAAAACTAGGCTAACGTAGAGACTAACTTAGAAAATGCTTTCACTTGACGTATGAAGTCCAGATGTACAGACAATCATACGCGATAACTCTAATATTAGTCCTGTTAACGTTAAATTGGTATTCAACGATAATGGTACTAAGATCGATTAGTTACGCGGTAGACCCACTATTTTTATGTTATAATACTGCACCCCGGCAGCGCAGTATTATTCAATTCGATTGAAATTCATCTAATCAGCCTAATAATGACCATGCTGTGTCATAGGCCTCCCTTAATGATAGACTCGAATAGGGGGACTGGGCCATGAATCACAATGCAGGTACAGAGTGAATTGGGTTAACGACTGCAAATGCAGCCGGGCCTTAAATAAACTATATCATTTAACTCTGCCTTAGAAACTTACCATACCACAGAATAATTTATCGATCTTTTTTATAATATTATTATAGATCTCGTTCCTTATAGACAACTGATTGTATTGATTTCCTTTAATAGCATTACTGACCACTAATACATTACTATTTTCTATGGATGATATATTTTTCACGCAATTTTCTTCATTTTTTTCTTTACTAGTAACACTTTCACTTAACACTTTGAGGTCTTCTCGTAAATTTTCATAAGATTGCTTTATTTGTTTTTCCAATTTAATTATTTTACTATCAATATTGTCCTCGTGATCCCTAGTTTCTTTTATATAGTGGTTTGTCAATATAGTATTGATAGTACGATATATTTTGATGTCGTTCCTTAGTTTATTTACCACATCCAGTTTATCATTAATCGAATGTGATATGTCGATTATTGTCTCGTAGCTCTTTCTATCGTAATTAGTTTCGATTGACGATTTCAACTCCTTTAGAGCCCGCGTGTTCTTTTTCACACTTATCACGAAGAGGTTTAATAGGTTTTTGTAATTAGGTTCCTTTCTCTGTGGTCCGTTGGACTTCAATGTCATTTTGATTTTCCTTGTTTTTTTTTATTCCAAAAAGCTTTAATATCACATAAACTAACCAGATTGCTTCTACTTCAGATTAAAACATATAACTGAGACCAATTTCGAATTTAATACGAAAGTTGTAACTGATACATTCGACACTGGTTAAAGTATCGTGTGACCATAAAAAATTAGACTGTTGCGTTACACTCACTGTTTACGGTCAGGGCGAAATCTTTGATTTCATAACTGTTAATGTTAAGCTATGTTATGTTAAGCAACGCTTCACTATATGATTTGTCTTATAATTTATCATTATTTATAAATATTGATTCTTCTCTTTCTAAATTTTTTTCAAAGCACACTTTTGAATCTGCGTTTTTTTAAAAGCTACCAGCTCTTAAAGACACCGTCAATTACTAAAATGTCGCATTGAAACCTGCAATACTTTTGTTATCGCTACGTCGAAACGATATCATAGATAAGACCTATTGTTTAATTTAATAGTGTTTATTACACTACTATTTTGTTTGTCCTGTATATACATATATACGTTTATGCCTGATAATGCCTGGATGTATTGCTAATTTAATAAATAAGGGACATAATTAATAGACTACTCTTAATGAATAATGGAAAATAATACTTCAGCCGAATACGATTAGTGAAAAACATGGCGAATATCGAATACCAAACGGATATTCGGCGCATCTCTATTTGTACGTATTTCAAATCGCTCTTGAGACAATTATTGAATTTTCTGAGGAATAACAATGTTTGAAGCGCGTAAAATGTGGTTTTTGCTAAATTAAAATTAACTGTTATATGATTAATAGAAATAAGTTGATAGCTATCTAATTTCAGTTGTATAATGTTACAGATAACAATATCTTAAATTAAGAATTTCTAAGATAAATAAGAGATAAGATCTTTGATGACATGAGTTATAACGACACAGGTTCATAGCGCTGTTAACATTATATTGTCAAGGTAAAGACTGCATATCTTAATACTTTTCATTGTGCACCCTATCACCATCGGTTTCCCCATAGCACTCTAGGGTTAACTGAGAGAAAATACCTAAGGCAATAAGGCTACCAACATACATATTTTGTGCATGAAAAATTAAATAGAGACAGATAGGGAATATGACGTACTACTGATTTTTAATCAATTACTCGCAAATAGTTAAGATTAATTGTAAAAATTTCTTCATGTATTAGAATCAGACGGAAGTCAATGCTGTTATTGTGAAACAATGATATCTAGCAACTTCCACAGCCAATACAAAATATTACGCAAAGCTCAGCGTAGATAGCAGCACTAGTACATGTAGTAAACAAAAAAGTTTTTGAGCATGTCTTTTTTTATTCAATGTGTTCTGTTCCTTCTTAGCTGTTACAAATAATTATAAAATCAAAATATATTAAATTCCTACTACATTCCCTATTACTTTACTCTTTGCTTACTACTTGCTGAATGACGTTTGACGTTTATAAAAAACTGCTTACATGTGCTAATTCGTAGCAGTGAAACGCCTTATTAGTATGTACAAGATTTGCTTTGCACCGCTCTCCCACAAATTCACATATACACACGGTACTAAAGCTTCCAATAACCATCACTCAGTTCATCACTCGCCACCCTACTCAGTTGTTAGAACCTTTGTCAACTACTGAGTGAGTTTCAATTTGCTAAATATTAGAGTTTCAGTTATAAATTTACCTTATTACATTACCAACCCTCAGCTACATATTATCTTTAGATAGTTGGATGTTTTAATCAGCCAGTAAAAAAATATTTGGACACTCACCTTCTTTCTCATATTTTCAGCTTCGTAACTTCTATCGTAATGGAAATTGGCGTAAACCGGTGAATACTGGGGATTCCTATCGAAAGCCGGCGACGGTAGAGTGAGCGTTTTCGAAATATTCCCACTTCTATCACCAATCCTCCCGTAACCATCGCATCTACTATAAGCAACGTCCACATTAGCCGTATCTATATTGTTCTTGCCATTTTCGACATTGTTCTTATAATGTTCAACATTGTTTTTACAATTTTCAACGTTGTTTTTACAGTTTTCAACATTGTTTTTACAGTTTTCAACGTTGTTCTTATCGCGTTCCTGTTTCACGTTTATTCTACCGTATATATTGTCTGTATTCACTTGATCGTTGTTCACTTTCTTTGGCAATTTCGTCCTTGTGTTATCATCGAAATTTCTTACTATATCATCTATTTTTGTTTTGTTCTTAATAGCAACGTTCGCGTAAGAACAGTTCTTCGGATCCATAGAATTATTTTCGTTGTGTACCACTACTTTTTGTTCTTGCTTATTCTTGTTCATATAATTAGGCATTGTTTTACCACCTAGAACATCTTTAGCGGGCGTATTCACAGTCAAAGAGTTAGCACTAAAAACTTTAGGCGATATCTCGTTGTCGTTATTAGTGTAAAATTGACTTCTGCCTATGCACTTGTGTTGTTTCGCGTAGTATTCGAATTTGGACACTTTCGCCATGATATTAGATACTTTCGGTCTCGTTTCTTGATCTGAATTCGAATCGGACTGATCTAGATCTCTGTAAGGTTTTCTTGGTGCTACTGGTGGTTTCTTTCTGGACATTTCTTTGAGTGTCATATCCAGTTCTTGGTCTAGTTGCGTTAGTACACTGTCTTTGTATATGTTTTGCATATTGTTTTGTTGGTAGCATTGATTACTTGGTTCGGTCCGGTGATTTACATAAGCTGTGAAACAGAAATGAAAGATAATTTAGGATTAATATTACACTTTATCGCTGACAGTATAAAATACAATATTTGTGCAGTTTTAGATTTTACATATTTTGATTCAATTTTACTATAGCGATGTTTTTAGAAAGGTCGTTTTAATAAAACTACATATACACATCATGCTCATAAGTCATTATTATTATAAGTTACCGTTAATATATCAGCATGAAATACAGAACTGATCGACATTCGACTCATTGTCTGATCTCAATTACTTATATAAGTTACATACAAAAATGATCAGCCCTTGTAAGAAAGAAATAAATTTACATACATACATCTATATATATATAAAAATGAATCGCAAAATGTGTTGGTAAGCGCATAACTCAACAACGCCTCGACCAATTTGGCCAAATTTTTTTTTTAAAATGTTCGTTGAAGTTCAAGGATGGTTTTTACGGCGAGAAAAATTAGAATTATTGCTGGAAAAACCCTAAAAATAGCCCTTTTCTTTTTCCCATACAAATGATTTGTAACTAAAACGTATTCAATTTGAGCTTTATTGTTATGGTATAAAGTTCATATTAAATTACAAGCACTCACTGTTGTCTAAGCAATGTAGGTGTGTTCCTAACGTCAAAGATCATATCTATCAAAACAATGTGCGTGTGTGCGTTGGAGCACAGAATACATAGTTGGAGGAGTTTAATGTCGCGTTCCGAAACTCGCGTTTCTTTTGTATTAGTTTCGGCACGCGAGATAAAATGCATCAGTTTCCACGTCATTACATGTATTGCCGGAACATTGATGAAAATACGCTCTGTAGTAGCAAAGCTGTTGGGTCCTAGATAGCTCATTGGTTAGAGCAGTCCCTGGATCGCGAATGGGTTCGAGTCCCATTCCGGGGTACAGGTAGATGGATTCTTCCAGCATTTTTCCTTGAGAATGTTTATATATTTTTTTAATTCGAATAGTTTACTTTTATAATGCTGTTGTGTGTAATGTGTTTTTATGATCATAAAAATCTCTTTTTTCTATATTTAATACTATTACTATTAATACATTGCAATAATAATTATGATTCACATGATTAACAATAAAGCGATTACTTACTTTTAAATCCTTGTATATGTTTTATTTAATTATTTTTTATTCACAACGCCCTATCACCAGGGTGACGGTTCTGTTCAGGAGAATTTTTTTAAATACGTAGGCAAAAAAACTGCCACATTACAAATCTTTTTGACAGGACGAAGTCCGTCGGGTCAGCTAGTAACCCATAAAAATCAACACAAGAACATAGTAAAAAAAGAAAAAGAAGAACACTGCGAGACCAAGGCAGACCCCTGTCTCAGCAAAGGCGTGTGTATCATTCATATATGGGCAGAATGATACTAAGAGCGCTGTCATTCTGATAGGAGCTTTACAGTTGTTTCGATTAATAATAAAAATTTAAAATTATATGCAAGAAGAGCGAAATAGTATATGAATAATGATGTAAAAATTAACATACATATTATATTAAAATAGTAAATGATATATTTCATAATTATCTTGTAGAATCGAAAATAACGAAACGAAACGAGAAAGTGTTGCTCTTTGTACAAGATAAGTGAAAAAAGAAAGGAATATATGGTTTTGTTAGCCTAGGAACTGCTATCGTTCATTATGTAAATTCCAGAAACTTTTCATAAGTGCCATGTGTGCTCGTGAATGGGCGCCATCTTGCGGTGAAGTAAAATAAATTAGACACTTCGTCTTCACTTTATATGGATATGTAAGCGTGGCCAGATAGATGCCACTTTATTATAGTCAGCAGTTCAGCACAACCTCAATCAACTGTCACAAGTAGAAGTGGATATTTTTACAAGAGATGCGCGGAATAGTGGTTTCACCGAATACGGTATACTATTCGGTTAGCCCTTAAACGAAGCGGATATTCGGTTTAGCCCTTTCATTGTTTTACCGTGTAAACAATAAATTTTATTTTATTAGCTTTATTGAAAAAAGTCTTTACAGGATTTCTTTGATTTACAATATAATATACTTATATAAAAAGTTCTGTTTTTTAGTTCAATACCATGTCGTGTAAACAGAATATATTCGGCGACAATACCGAAACGAAACCGAATGCTTCAAATATTAAATACAAACGAATATTCGGCGCATCTCTAATTTTTACCGTCTAATAACTCATGTACCTTACCTGTGGTAAGACATTGTTCGTTCGGTTGAAACTGTACAGGAGCCATTGATACGTGCGCTGAAGGTAGAACTGATTTCATGAGTTTAGCTTCTTCTGGATGGTTGAATCGCAGATAGTTGGACCGTCCGATTGTCAGCATACTACCTGTATAACAGTAAAGGATATTACGCAAAGTTCGGCATAGATGGCAGCACAATAACAAGAAAGAAACTTTTTTGAAATTTTGTCTTTTGGAAAGGAACGATTCCTTTTCTTTTTTATAGCAATTTTCTAATAGCATTTATTATTGAGAAATAATAACTCATCATCATCATCATCACCAGCCCTTTAAGTCCCCACTGTAGGGGCTCAGGCCTTTCTTATGGATGGCTAAGGAGGATGGGCTATGACCCTCCATGCTGGCCCAATGCGGTTTGGAGGGTATTAACGACTGCAAATGCAGCCGGGGCCAACAGCTTAACGTGCCTTCCGAAGCACGGAGTAGCTCGAGATAATAACTTTTTGGTCACCCATCCCGTGACCGATCCTTGCGAAAGTTGCTTAACGACTACGATCGCGGGCCGCGGCGCTTATCCACTACGCCACCGAAATACTAACTAATTATTCAATATTTATTTCTTTGAATAACCGTAGTGATTTCCGATTTTCTCTCGCTAGGTGACATTAATGTGATTGAGGGGTCAAACTTTAGTCATTTTAGGTCCATTTAGAAACAAAGTCATGGTATGTACCTATAAGTGTACACCGCGAATTTTGATAAAAACGTAGTTGAACCGTCATATTATATGAAAAAGAATATAGATGGAAGAAAACATGGACTTGACAGGAATATATTTATTTAGATATTAGATTGCGAAAACCATTCTGTTTTCAATATATATCTAAGCAGTGACACTTAATTAACTTTCAGATATCAAATTATTTTAATTGAGAAATTAACATTTGGTACAACTGCCACTTATTGGGGACAACTGCCACAAGTCGTCCCAAAGACCTTTTTTAAATTTTTATTTTTTTATTTAATTATAAGGGGTAAACAAACAGTGATATAATTTACATTGATGTTACAAAATTAAACAGACGAGATATAATTCTACACCAACACCGTTCACCACATCATAATCAAAACAAACTTAACTTACAAGTGGTCGCACATTAAGTTTTCCAAAATCCATAGGAGAGCTTTTAACTAGAATTAAAATCTTACAATTTGACTGAATAGTTGACATTACTTATGACCTTTGGTCCCCAATGAGACTGTTTTATGAGTAAAAATAACAGTAAAATATAATCAAAAACCTTTCATGTCATGTTTTATACGTCGAATAATGTTGGTTTTCAAGTCTAAAGTTTTTATCAGAACTTCACCAGATATTTAGACAAAAACCTTGCAAAAAACACCTAAAAGTCTTTAATGTGTCATTGTTTATGATTCGTTCAAGATCGTGGCAGACTACGCGTGCATTGTTTCTAAAACTTAGAAGTTAAAGCTTAGTTGACATAATCAGTATTAATTACTGTTTCGATATAATTTCATATTTCATAAGGTTGTATCCTACTGCTACTACGTAGTACTTTGAAATAACACTAAATACCCAACGGAATTGCACAACATTTGGGCGTACGTAATATATTAATTAAGATTTAATTGCAAACTTTGTTTTGACGCCCATCGTAACAAAAAACTTTAACAGCTAAATTTCAGGACCCAGTGGCAACGACTGGTAAAACATTAGCTCTCACTGGCAGAATCCTGATATAAATAATTTACATAGAATAAAATTCAAACCATCCTCCTTTTTCGCATTCGCTTTAAAATAAGATTTACCTTGTGAGAGACGGGTGGGTTTGTCCACTGGTAACCCGTCCAAAAGAGTGCTACCGCTGATTGGGTACAATGTGACGACACCGTGCGAGTTCTCCACGCGACAATGGACGCTCGTCACACCGGTACCCACCACGTAGATGTCGCATGTCGGATCCGAGCCTATCGTTACGCGACCTTTAAGTAAAAAAATAATACATTTATATGTTGTTACTTTACTCTACTAGTCCATCCATGTTTGAGCATTCCACCCGAACATCCGAAAGAAATATTTTTACAAATATTTTAAACTTTAGATTAAGATGAAAATGTATTCTAATAAATTAATATGTGAATAATTCTGTTATACTGATAAATATATCTTTAATGAAAATATGTTTGAAAACATTAAGAATTTCTCAGTAAAGATATTTAACAGTATAGCATTGTGAATGCAAAATAGGCCTACAGTAAAAAATATTAAATAATTATAAATAAAGACATGATGTTCATCGCGGACAAACATGCAACATACGGGTTAAACGTATATCCTAATTTTTTAAAGTCGTTTAAAATATCAAAACCTTCTAAGTGTAACAATTAATTTTTTGAAACCGCATCAAAAGCAGTTCAGCCAAATGCAAGATAATATTGATGACGACTAATTTTTATTTGTTTATTGTAGTAGTAAGTCAAGTAGATTATTGAAGAATATTAAATACTAATTAAAATTATTAAGTTATCAATAAATCACGATAATACATTGAATTGAAATGTCGCATGACGTCAAGCTTTCATACATTTTCTATAAAACTGTGACGTAGCGCGCCCCCACTCCCCAACTTTAATGTCTATTCCATTCTAAGCCATTTCTTGTTTAAATTGAAACCAAAAAAAATACGTATCTAATATTTTTCTATTATCTGATTGAGGGACTAAATAGAATTTCTTTTATTTTTGCCCAGTCATCATCCCTATTGCGGATAAACATATATTCAGTTAAAACTGAAAAGCTTTTTTTTAAGCATTAAAATTATGAGAATTTTCGACTTAACTTTTAACCTCATCTTATACCTATGTTTAGCTCGTGTCATTCAACTATTATGGGGTAAGAGCGCGATTGTTTGTTCTTAACTTATACGTTTAGCTCGTGTCACTCAACTATTATGGGGTAAGAGCGCGATTGTTTGTACTTAACTTATACGTTTAGCTCGTGTCACTCAACTATTATGGGGTAAGAGCGCGATTGTTTGTATAAATTCAAATAAGTAGCGTCCCGTCTATTTGTTTGTGGATGTGAAGAGGTCTCACCTTGCTTGATGGGATGCAAGGTGACGGCGGTGCTCAGTCGGCCTGTTCCCAAGCTGACCAGGTGCGGTGTGTTGGTCGCCACCCTGGAATGCACATTAAGAAGTCAAATATTTAAAATAAAAACACCTATAATAAAACTATTATAAAGACGAAATATTTAATTGTTTATTTGGATCGAATAGGCACCTAAACAACTGGACTGATTATAAAAATTATTTCACCTACGGGAAGCTATATCATTTGTCGGGTGACATAAGCTACAACAATACTTAATCAATTCAGTTGAGATCATACTTAAAACAAGAGTCCTATTCTTGTAAAAATTAATTACAAAAATATTGAAATAGACGAAGTAGATTCAATACGATTTCTTAGGTCGTTTATTGATGAATTTTTAATTTGGAAGTATTATATTGACCATATACGTGGAAAACTAAACCGTTTTATATTTGCAATAAAAATTGAAACAAACAGTCTCAGTTGAAGCTGCGTTAACCGACTAGCGTGTGTCGTCTGTTTTGAGCTATGATCTGTTATTATGGGGAGTTTTAGCATATAATTATTGGTTTGATGATAGTTGTAAACCAGGTTTTAAGAAGCTTACTGTTTTGCCGCTACCCTGTATTTACATAAAATATGTATTTTTTGTTCATTCCAACTCTAAATACTGGACTTAACGTGTAGAAGTTATGCTCAGACAGACTAGACAAAAATATATATTTGTTAATTCAACCTCCTTGTCATAAGCACATTTATAAAAATAATGTATGCAATATACCTATGAATAATTTAATAAAATAAATTTACCAGACGATATGAAACTTTTTTAACATTAATGAATATAAATTTAAAACGGACAAAGTGGCTTATGGAACACAACTTATATAGAGTAAAATAATTTTTATCTTTTAATGATTTAATAGAATAATACTCGTATTATGATTACAATTTTTGCACACCTGTTCTCAGATAGAATACTATACTTATTTGATTATTTAATTTTTTAACCTTATTGTTTATATTTTAGCAAATAAAGATCTTATCTTATCCAAATCGTACTCTAAAATTCAGTATAGCAAATAACGATGAAACATGATATAAGTTTACAAATGAAGCCTATCCGAATTGCTACTTGAAATGAGAATTAAGATTAGAAGATTCTTGGAACGTACATATTTTATTACATTTACTCTAAATAGCCCAAATTGTAGGATTATTTTATTATGGTATAAAGGAGCGCACACAATGGTAAATACGAACAAAATTACAACGGTTCATCGAAGTTTTTCTTGGAATATAGGACACGAAATGTCGCGTAATAGCATTTGCTCATTAAAGCAGTAAGAATATACAATGTCTCTTACTAAATCATGATTGTAACACTCCCCAAATAAGTCAATTCTCCAAACATGTGCAACTTTATTTTGTGTCTCACGATTTCTGAGTTCTCTGTTTACATTAGCGTCATGCTCCCAGGGCAGAGGAAACGATGTTCTATTTCGGGAAGTGTATGCAATTGCTGTTGACGTTTGTTGTCCTTTCGAATATTTTTTTTTTATTTTCTTTCTCAGATATGTATGACGTTGACATATAAAAATCATTCTAAGAAGCGGCGTGTCGAAGAAAAATAAACGAACGAACGACGAATAAAAATAATCATAATATTCCCCGTTATATAATTGAAGGAAATGTCACTCCAATTTGGTAATATTTTCGGTATTATTGATAAGTACGGACCATCTTTAAATAATAAGTTAAGTTCTGCGTTTTTTTCCTATTTCTTATAGATTTTGGATTTCTACACACCTTTGTGTGCACTCGCAAGACAAGATGAAGGACGGGAATGGTAGGTTTTTAATATTTTTATGATATTTCTAATAAACAGTTCTGAGTAACAAGTTTGGTAATCTAATAAAATTTATAAATTTATTTACATAATCCAACATGACAAAAAGTACAAATAAAAAACCTCCACAAACCAAAACTCATTTTTAATGACCCAATTCATAGATTTAGTAAAAATACACTTTTATAAAGGCAATCCCGCCAAGGATACAAAGTACAATTTGAGTACATCGAAGCAATCGAAACAAATGAAGTGCTAATAGCGTACGATCTTATTGAAATGTTATTAATGGCGTCATATCAGTAGCATATGCCAGCAATAAAGTTCTTCAAATCACAAACGCATACAGTTAATAAAAATCAAAGCAGTAATACAACAACAAACTAGAATCGAATTCTAATAAAAAAAAAAAATGCATCAAAGACTTATACTAAAACGAGTGAGGAAATATTGAAATTGTTTTGAAATGAGTAGGGGGTACATAAATTTCTTGGAAGTTTCCTGTTAAATGAGACGCTATAATTTGGCGGTGAGTCATGATCTCCTTTTTAGATTGCAGTGATTTTAATTCTTATAAGACTGATCTTAACATCATCATCCCTGTTACGTCACTGCAGGGGCTCAGGACTTGTTTATGGATGGTTAAGGAGGACGGGTAATGACCGTCCACGCTGGCCCAATGCGGATTGGAGAGTATTAACGACTGCAAAATATAGCCGGGACCAACGGCTTAACATGCCTTCCGAAGCACGAAGTAGCTTGGAGCATCTCTTAGAATGGTATGATATCCTATGCCTCCATAAACAATGTTACCTCCCCTACTAGTGAAAGTCGAACACATCAGCTTCCGGACAGTAACAGGTGGTTGTGTTGTTTTTCCTATCCATTCACCAATATTTCCATTCGTATCTCTGATACCGACACGCGACGAATAGAAACCAAATAGACGACATCAATAAGCACGAATTGTTCAGTTCACGGTTGGTCCAATGGCGAGAAAAGACCAATCAGGCACACATTATATTGGGAAGAGATTAACACTTCCAAACCTTTAAAAAATGCATTACTACTATTTCACAATATATTCACAACACAGAAACCATTCTTTCAGTTGAATTTTATGATCCAGATGTTGAACAGACGACGCATCTATGTCTTTGCTTTAATGTTTCAGCCTTAGATGCAGCAAAGATATAAAGATATTTAATTAAAGAGATTCATTAATTAATTAAAACACAGTCACATGGGAAGTATAAATCATTTCCGTTCACAGCAACCAAATGGAAAAAAGAACAGAAAAGGATTATTCCGAAATAGATAACGATTTTTAACTTGAATTTCTTGTTGGATGTTTTTTCTGTAACATTTTAACGTCACTATTAATTTACTCTGCTAATATGAAACATGATATTTGGTCTTAATATTATTTGGCTAATGGAGTAACGACCTTCTACCCATCATTTTCTTTTTTTCGATAGCGACCGTGCTGACATCAATAGAAACATGAATGAATTAGTTATTTAAAAGATAATGCGTTATGTCTCCTTCATATACGCTATTAAAGTTGGCACAATATCTATATTTGCTTAAGCAACAGATGCTTTAATTTTTTTTACTGATGATAAATTTATGTTTTTTTCGATAATCGATATCATCTACACTAAACAAAATACATTCAATAACAGGTTAGGGCAGAATTCTCAACATTTCTTGGGGTGAGGCTCCCCGAACTATAAATATAATATTTACATGCTCTTTAATTTTTCAATAAATACAAAAAACAACTCCTACACTTGCATAAAAAAACTACAATAGATGACGTCATGTTTCAAAGCTGTGGTACATAATAAGTAAATGTGATATGGTTAGAAGGAACAGCTAAAATGTTCATCAAAGTGTTCAATATGTTGCACTGTAAACATTCTGGTGCTATATTGGCACATTCTTATATCTAACATATCTGTTATAATTATCATGATGCGTACGTTCATTATTAAAATATGTACTTACATTGAATCTAATAAATAAATACCAAGCACAAACAGGGCTTGTTTGCCATCAATCATCAAGGAAACCATTGTTATCATCCGTCTGTCACTAGCAGAACATTCTTGTGCTATTTCTAACAACATTTCCCTTCTAGTTCAAATATCAACTTTAACTTGCTATAAGTAACGCTCCATTCACTTCAGCTTTTAGGCTGTGATTGCTAATTAGCTGCATCTTTATCCATTTCAAGTTAGAGTTCAAATTTCTACATAATGATTGACAGTTAGCGGAGTACCATTATGGCGTCTTACTGTATCGTTATAAGGCTGAAATCTGTATATCATAAAAGTAACGAAAATAACGTGAGACCCACGTGTTTCTCGTTTTACAAATATTTATTTTATTTTTCTTTGAACATGGATCTAATTTTGTTATGAAAAGTTATGTCTTTCGAGATTTGAATGGCAATATTGCACTTTACTGCGTCGCGTTATAAATAATATACAATCAGCAACATCTGTTTTCTAAACCACGAAAGAACTTTACATTAGATTGTCATTTTGTTGTTAAAATTGATCATGGACTATGAATTAAATTAAAAACTTAAGACTTTACTCCTATTTAAGAAGAATAAGAAGATATTATCATTAGCAATACATAGTCCTAAAAATTTCTATTTATTTAATTCATTTTATATCATTGCTGAAATCAAATTATCAAGCCAAGGAAATTATTAGATAGTAACTGAAAAAGGATAACTACCCAGCAACAGATAATCCGCAAATTAAACTCAAGTTGCAGCATTTTCAGGTTTAAATTCTAGTATTTAATTAAAACAGCATTAGTTTAAAGCGACATTATCCATACAAATTTGACAGTCATCAGAGCTTAAGCAGACGTTTGTGCAACTGACCTTAAGACATTTTACAATTCCATGGAACTATTCATATTCTACAACTTGACTGAAGGCGTATTAGGATGATTAACAATAGCAACATTTACTGCGACAACGCTCAGCTGTTAGTGTAATGTTTCGAGTTCAAGGTTGAGCCTTGATCTCGAACAAATAAGGTTGTGAATTGTGATTATGTCAATTGATATTTATAACAACCTCAATGGATAACTTCAAATAAAGCCAAAAAGAAAAACTATTAAAAAAAGGAAGGATATATTTTAAATACTTAAGTTTTTTCCTTAATTGATCAATAGCGAAAAAATAGTCTACTGTTAAATTAAAATCGCATGTGT